GGGGGGGGGGGGTCAGTGCAGGAAACAGCTCTGTAAAGAGGCAGTCGGAATTCCAGGCAACTAGTGACAGCAGGGGAAGGAGAGGAAGCTACGGGAGCCCAGAAGAGGCCGCCTCGACTGGCCTGGGGAGTTCAGGGAAGGCTTCCCGGAGGAGGCGAGGTCTACGCTGAGGACTGGAGACGAGAGGGAATAGTCCAGGAGAAGGGCGTTCTGACTGATACAAGAACAGCCTGCGCAAAGGTCCAGGGGCGAGGGCCATGCGAGGACTCGTGCCCGCTCTTGCCCTCCACAGTGCCCCCTGTCTTGGAGCCGGTAGAGTTCCAGAATGACGTGGCGGTCGTCCGCGGCTCCTCGGTGGTCCTCCCCTGTGAAGCCCGGGGAAGCCCTCTGCCGCTAGTGTCGTGGATGAAGGATGGGGAGCCCTTGTTGCCCCAGAGCCTTGAACAGGGGCCCAGCCTGCAGCTGGAGACAGCGGGAGCTGGAGACTCGGGCACCTACTCCTGTGTGGCCGTGAGCGAGGCGGGGGAAGCCAGGAGGCATTTCCAGCTGACAGTGATGGGTGGGTCATCTGCCCCCCCTGCCCTGCACCAGCGTCTCTGGGCCCCGGGGGCGTCGGAGAAGGTGGCGAGGGAGGTGACGTCCCCTGGTGCATCTCCCCAGGGACGGCTGCCTGGGTGCAGGGTTTGGGGGGAAGGGCGGGCTCATACCGGATGCCTCGCTGACCTTGACGTGGGGGTTGGATGGCCCTCGTTCTCCTGGGGCTCTGCTCCTCAGCTCTGTCCCCCAATCTTGTAGAGCGGAGACAAAGGGCCTGCCGTGTGCTTGCTGGCTTTAAAGCACAAATAACTGTCCCAGGCAAATGGGCCCGTGGTTTCTGGTGTTCTGCCCCGCCCCTCCGCCTTTGGTGGCCCCTTCTGCGGTCAGCGTCCGGATGGTGGGGGCTTGGAGATGCACCCCAGCACCCAGCGCTGAGTGCAGCCGCCATGCTGACCCCGGGTGGGGTGTTTTGCAGATCCCCCCCACATAGAGGACTCGGGCCGGCCTGCAGAGCTGCTGCTGACTCCCGGCACCCCCTTGGAGCTCCGCTGCGATGCCCAGGGCACCCCGCCGCCCAACATCACCTGGCATAAAGACGGGCAGGCCCTGAGCGGGCCTGCAGACAGCAGTAGGGTGCTCCGGGTAGAGGACGTACAGGTGCAGCTTCCCCACTGCTGTGGGCTGGGGCTGGCGGAGGGGAGGGGAGGGGAGGGCAGGGGACGAGAGGAGGAGGGAAGGACCCCACAGCACTTGGCAGTTAGGCTGAGCTCTTCCTTCGTGTGGGGGTCACCCACCTGGGCCAATGCCCTCGAGAGCTCCCAGCCAGGCCAGGGCCAAGGCTGATGCAGAAACCGGGTCACTCCCCAGCCCGGCCAGAGGAGGGCTGGTGCAGTCAAGGGGCACTTCCTGGAGGAGGCAGGCTTTACCCTGGCCGCAAAGCAAGGGTGAGATGGAGATAGAGAAGGAACATCCCAGGGAGGGGGCCGGTTGGGAAAGGAGGCGTGGCAGACTCAGCCGGCCTGAGTCTGAATCGTGGGGCCCGAGTCGTGTAGGAAGGAGACCAGATCAGGAGGTGGGCAGGCTGGGGCCAGAGGCAGCTGCTAACCCTGGTCCATCCATAGGTGGGCGATGCTGGGCTGTACACGTGCCTGGCCCAGAGCCCCGCCGGCCAAGCGGAGAAGAGCTTCCGGGTCAGGGTTCAAGGTAGGGCGTGCCAGGGTGGCGGCCGGAGAGGCAGGCGGGATGGGACCCGCAGGGGCGAGTCCATCTCTCATGACCTCTCTGCTGCCCACCCAGGCCCCCCGCACGTTATAGGGCCCCGAGGCCCCCGCTCTGTGGTCGGCCTGGCTCCCGGGCAGCTGGTTCTGGAGTGCTCGGTGGAGGCGGAGCCAGCACCCGAGATTGAATGGCACCGAGATGGCATCCTGCTGCAGGTGGGTGCCAGGCAGGGGCCACCACCTTCTGTGGCCCTCCGGCCCCTGACCAGGCCGGATCCCAGGTGCTGAGGGACTGCCCTGTGCCGGCACCTTGTGTTCCCGCCCTCCTGGTGCTCTCTGCTCCTATTACTGTCGTCTCCCCCATACTACGGACAGGGACACGGAGGCAAGGCTGGGATTTACAGCCAGGCCTTCTGATGCATATCTGTGTGCTTCCTCTTATACCTTCAGGCCACACGTAGTGGCTGTGTGACCCGGGGCTAGTTACTGAGGTTCTCTGTGCTCTCCCCTGAAATGGGGACCGAAGCTTGCGAGTCTTCTGCGAGCATGAGTCCCTTCTGCGACATCCCCAGTAGGCAGAGCCCGAGGGCAGGGGGCTCATTCCCTACCTGCCCCCCCCCCCCACCCCGCCACCTCCGCCCCCACGAACATGTTTCCTCCCTGCCTGGTGCCTGGCCCAGCCTGGCCCGGTGCTAAGGAGGGTCTCTCCACCCTGGGGACCCTGTAGGCGGATGCCCACACCCAGTTCCCAGAACAGGGAAGGTTCCCTCAGCCTCGCGGGCCCCTTTCAAGCAAACGCGGCCGTGAGAACCTTCCTTCTGCTGACCATAGCGCGCGGGCATGCGTGGCCTTCCGCGTGGAGATCCACAGTGAGTGGGCCTCACCCCACCGCGCGCTGGCCCTCCCGAGGGCCACAGGCTCCCAACACCCTTGCTCTGTGCCCCCCCCATAGTGTTGCCCACCATCCAGCCAGGGACCGCCCGCCCAGTGAACGCCTCCGTGAACAGCGTGCTGCCTACCCGGTGGGCCAGGCCCCACCCTCAGTGAGCTGAGGCTGAGGCGGGGCCCCTGGATCTGAGGCCCCAGGTGGGAAAGCTGGGAGAGGAGGGTCTGGGGGGGAAATTGGGTATTCTCTTCAACAGCCCGCCTGGGCACTTGGGGCAGAAAGGTGGCTGTATTGCCGAAGCGCCACGGTCCCTCCAGACCCAAGGGGACAGGCATGTCCAGGCATCGGTCAAAATCTGAGTGGCTGGCTATAAATAGTTTGACTCTTGGTTGCTAATGTCTCTGCTATTATTGTGTTGCATACCCCCCCCCGCCCGCCCCCCCGCCCGTCCCCATCTCTCTTTCAGTAATTTTCTACACCTTCTTTCTCTGTGAACATGGCAGGGCAGCCCCCTAACCACCCAGGGCTCCCCCTGCCACCGAGTTACAGTTTCTCAGTTCATGCAACCTGCAGAGCCTGGAAAACTACCCGGGGACCCCCCACCAGGGGCAAGAGCATTCCATTGGTCCAACCTGAGTGGCGTGTCCATCCCTTGTCCAACTGACTGTGGCTGGGGGCAGGGCTGCCAGGCCTGGAGCAAACCTGGGGCAGGGGCTGCAGTGCAGACAAGGCCTGAGGGGGCAGGGCCTGCCACAGACAAGGCCTGAGGGCAGGGGCGGTTCTCAGATCCGGGACAGGCGCGCAGAAAGGAGTGCTGGATGCTGCTGACTCCCAGAGAGGAGCTAGGCCAGGTGCGAGCATAGGAGCCCCCACCCCTGCTTCCCCGATGCTGGGATTTGGGATGTGAGGGAGAGCTGCCCATGGCTGTGACCTCCTCTAGTCTTGGCCTCATGATTGCAGGACTCCAAGTTAGCACCTTCTTGCTGGAAAGCCAGGGCAGAGGAGAGATGCTCAGGAGAACACTACCGGGTCCCAGCCGGGGCCTCCCTAGTCTGCTGGTCTCCCGCTGGCAGCCCCCTTCCTCCACTCCAGGTTGCAGCTTCTTCTTCTAGAGGTTCCTGAAGATCCTGATCCTTGCCCAGGGCGCTTGACACTACCTCTGCTTTGCATCCAACTCTGCAGGCTCCAGATGTCGTCAAGGCGACCTCAGGTCTTTGTTGCTGAGTGAACAGGGGAATGTTCCTGGCCTTTATCATCCACCCAGTCTGGGCGGGTCCTGCTTAGTTTCTGGGTTTATCCTTGCTGTCAGAGCCAAAAGCAATGATCTCTTCATGTTTTGACCATGAAAACCTACTGGCAAACTTTTAGTTTCCTTTACCATAGCCAAAGATGTGTGTGATTTCATGAATACTGTATTGATTTCATGAATACTTTGTCTGGGATATTTGCTCCCATACCGTTGTATCGTTGATAAAAAAAGAAAAGCTGCAGCACAGATAAAGACATTTGAGATGGAATTCAAGTCACTGCACCAGGCAGCTAATCTGCTTTTCAGCCGAATGGATTGGATCACAGCCTTGGAGGTGGCGGCTTTGCTCTTCTGAAGCTGGCCTCAGACCTTGAGAATAGGCCAGACCCAATCTGCATTCAGGGAGAGGTGGCTGGGGAGCATGGCTGGGCTCAAAGGTTCCATCACCCCCAGATTTGGGGTGCCAGAAGATTCCTCTTGAGTGTCTCCCTGCCTCCCCCTTGCATCCCTAGACCCTTGTCTCCTGATGACTACTCTCTCCCCAGAGCCTCCTGCCATCGCCCCCAGCCCTTCCAACCTGACCTTGACTGTACACACCCCTGCCTCACTGCCCTGTAGAATGGCCATCCCCAAGCCCCGGGTGAGGTCTGGTGGAAGGGCCAGTTAGTTTCCACCTGCAGCAGGGAACCTACCGGTACTGAGCTGGGCCTCTGGGTAGCCTCTCGAGGTGCTCCGGGTGGGGGGACAGTGTGCGCATCCCACGGTGGGGAGCAGGGTCAGACACGAGGCAGGGGTGGGGTGGCTTATTCAGTTAAGCCTCCAACTTCAGCTCAGGTCGTGATCTCACAGTCTGTGAGTTCAAGCCCGCCCCCATCCGGGCTCTGTGGCAGCAGCTCCGAGCCTGGAGCCTGCTTCTGATTCTCTGTCTCCCTTTCTCTCTGCCCACGTCTGACTCATACTCTGTCTCTGTCTCTCAAAATAAGTAAACATTAAGAAAAAAAGAGAGAGAGGAAGGAAGGAAGGAAGGAAGGAAGGAAGGAAGGAAGGAAGAAAAGGGAAGAAAAGAAAAGAAAAGAAAGAAAGAAATGAGACAGGGATGTGTTTAGGGTCTCAACAAAGCCAGCACCAGGATCTATATCCTGACCTCAGGGGCCTAGGAGCGTCTTTATACTGAGATGCCTGATAGGGGGTAGGGGCATTTGGGACATAGAGCCAAACAGAAAGGAATGGCTTTGAGAACCGTCCCAGCCACTGTGGTCTAACAATGATCGATATCCATACGTGGAGGCCTGAGTTTGGCTGAGCCTGGATCCTCGTCTCCCAGTTTCTCATGTGCAGCTGACCATGGAATGATCCCTGGGCACGTTAAAGGAGTCAGCTCACTAATTCGCCAAATATTTCTTGTGTCGGGTGCCAGGCCATCACGGAGCTTCTGTCTAAAGCAGGGGCGCCTGGGTGGCTCAGTCAGTGAAGTGGCCGACTTCAGCTCAGGTCGTGATCTCACAGTTTGTGGGGTCAAGCCCCACGCCGGGCTCTGTGCTGACAGTTCAGAGCCTGGAGCCTGCTTCGGATTCTGGGTCTCCCTCTCTCTCTCTCCCCATCCCCGGCTCGTACTCTGTCTCTGGCTCTCTCAAAAATAAATAAACGTTTAAAAAGAAAAATTTAAAGCACGTGCTCAACAGACCCGAGCTGTTCCGATCAAGGACTTGGATACCGTCGCTATTATGGAAGGTGTCCGATCTGGTGATTACAGAAAGCGTGCAGGGACATAGAGAACGACGGGGGTAACAATTAAACTTGCCCACGAGCTCAACTGCCAGACCTGTAAGCATAGAAACTTCTAGAAGAAACTTCTACATTCAGGGCTGGGGGCCAGACACCAGAGGGGAAATTAGTCAGGAGACCCCCCCACCCCAGTCCCCTGCATCCAGATTGCTGCACAGGCTGAGCTCGGGTCAGCCAGGCCGGCTGGTTAGCGGTCATCTGTCTGTCTGTCCGTCCCAGGCTCCTGCCCTCCAATGCCCTGCTCCTGGCAGCTCCCAGCCCCCAGGACTCAGCCCAGTTTGAGTGCGTGGTGAGCAATGAGGTGGGCGAGGCCCGCAGGCATTACCAGGTGACCGTTCACGGTGAGTTGGAGCAGAGGGAGGAGGAAGAAAACAGGACAGGCACAGTGTGCACGTCTCCTGATCCCACGTACCCACGCTGACGCAACCCTGGCCCCAGCACTGTTCGTGGCACTTAGGAGCTCTCGGGAGAGGCCTCTCCCCAATCCAGAATGTTCTGAACCCAGATCTGACCTTGCCATCGCCCTGGTTAAAATTCCTCCCTCCACGGCTGCCCACGGCTCTCAGGATAGAATGCAGGGTGTCACCTGGGCCCACAGGGTCCCGTGCATGCTGGCCCAGCCACTCGAAGTTCAGCTCACCCAATGCCCGCCTCGCTCTGGGATCGTCATGCTGCTTAGCTTTTGGTTCCTCACCTCAGGGCCTTTGTATATGCTGTTCGCTCTGCACATGCTGTTCCCTCTGCCCTTCACCCAGCCAACCCTGCTCTTCCTTCGGGTCTCAGGTTAAATGCCACTTCCCCTGGAGGCCTTATGTGGTGTCCCCAACTCTGAGCTCCCACGAAGCTCCCTTCTCTTGTAAAACCTTCCGGAGATGCCTAGCTGGCACCCCTACAGAAAGCAGTTCGTAACTGTCCCCCAAAGCCCAGCAAAAAAATACCTCCCAAGTGGGTGAATGTGACCTCTCTCTGTTGCCCCCCCCCGCCCTTTGTCACTAATGTCACCTGTGTCTTAGTCTCTGTTGATAGTTGTCATTCACCTGGCCCCATGACTACGTGTTCCCCCAGTGGACCTCAGCGGGGCCTCAAGCCTTGTCTTACATCGTAGTGCCCCCTACCATTGCTGACGACCAGACAGACTTCACCGTGACCAAGATGGCACCCGTGGTCCTCACGTGCCACAGCACGGGTGTCCCGGCCCCGGTCGTGTCCTGGAGCAAGGCAGGCGCCCAGCTGGGGATGCGGGGGAGTGGCTATCGTGTCACATCTTCTGGTAAGTAGGGGTGAGCCGTGAGGGTAGAGACGGGGCGTCAGGCTGAGGGTGTGAACGCAGTGGAGAGTCCCGGCCTGATTCTGCCACTCCCTGCTGTGTGACCTAGGGGAACCCCTCACCCTCTCTGGGCCTTAGTATCCCCACTCACGCACTAGTGTGTTGATATTTGTCAGTGGTTCTCTGATGATAGTTGACAGATCAGTGCCGCTCCGTGGCAAAGTGAGGAAAATAATAACTACGTGAGAGTTTCCATAAAGCAGGTTTGAGCTCACTGGAAGGATTTTCCTTTATTCTGAAATTACACTCTTCGGGGCGCCTGGGTGGCTCAGTCGGTTAAGCATCCGACTT